GCATTGGCCCAAAGGGCCTTTTCTATGGCCTTGTGGCCCGATTCTCTAGAATCCTCTTGGTGGGGAGGCTTGGTGGGAAGTATCCCTGCCAATCACCAATCGGTACACAAGGCCATAGAAAAGTCCCTTAGGGCCACTTCATAAAATCTAATGTTGTTCAAAAAATTGATCATTCGCCGGTTGGTTGCGGCTGGAGTTGTTTCAACCTAACAATATACGAAGGAAATACAGTACTGTTGGAAATCTACTACAGATTTCAGTGTAAAGATGAAAAGAATGAGAACGGTTGCAGACTCTGATAGTGCTACATCAGAGAGTGATGTTGAGAATTCGTATAACACTGACAACGAAGTGGAAACTGATTCTGCGTCAGAAAGTGATTCTGATAATGTAGATGATACTAGTAGTGAAGTAGGTGGTGAATACGAATGCGATCCATGGGCTCCTTTAAAAGCTGAAGCAGCCCAACAAAGTTTATCGGAATTCGAAGAACTAACGCAGAAGTTCACTGCAAAAGGTTTTGACGAAAACGAAGTTAAAGACAAGGCATACTTACTTATCCTACCAAAACTTCGTAAAGATTTGCAGAATATTTATCTGAAACGTCTACTATGGATAAGACAACTAAAGAGGGATCCAGGACACAAAAAGATTATGGAAACCAGGGATGTCTTTGTCAACGATAATAATTTCGACCACAGGGAAGCATTAGAGGCCGCTATTGACAAGAGAAAATTTTTTTTTAAAAGACTTTTCAGAAACACATGGTCTCCCAGTGACATTGACTCTTAATGGTTGTTTGTGTTTGGTTTATAAAAATAAAATAAAATACGATTCTGTGTGGTAGCTATTTTCCCTTAACTCATTTCTCTAACCCTCTCCCAAGTCCCGGCAAACCTTCAAAAAGGCCTTTGGGGCCACAACTATTGAATGTTAGGAAATCACTTGACAATTATCATTTGCTATTATGCCTCGGAAGTGTAAAGATTGTCCCATCTGCGGCAAGCGAGCTTTAAAAAGATTGGCAAACCATTTGGCAGACGTCCATGAACATTCTTCCGAAGAAAGACAACCTTATCTTATTCGTTCTAAGCTAACAGCTTAAAAAGCAGTCAAAGTGGAATAAAAGCGGAATAAAGAATATACCCATCTGTCAATCAAAATCCTCCTGGAAGAGAACAAGATGGAATACAAAACCTGCAAAGAAAGTAAATAAAACTCTTAAGTGAATAATACTGTATATTTATACAGACAAAAATGATTAGCTTTGTAGTACTTAAAGAATTGAATGTGTTCTAAAATTGAAATCATGTGCTTTTGCCTATTTTATATCTGCGCTCTGTGTCCACGCTTATAATAGCCCGGTATTATCCTTCCATATCCCCATTATGATGTACATTGTACGCATCTTATCGCTAATGATCGTTTAATGATCGTAGGTGTATGCAAATAGCGAACATAACAACGCACAGTAACGCGTGCATGTGCTTACTTCCCTTGGAATATTTATTAACATTGCTGGTTGTGACGAATAGATTCCTCACTACCATTTTGTAAACATACGAAAGTTAAATAGGCAATAATCACGACCAAAGTTTGTAACATTGATCTCTCTGTAGACTTGTTCAAGGTTTAGTGATCATTGTATTTATATGAAACGATAACGTTTGCTTATCAATATCAATTTCATTTCGTTTCAACTGATCAAAAATTGTATCTATGTTATCCATTGACTGTGCTTGGATCAAATGTTTGGAAAATTTAGTAGCTACGCTATGCCAACATTAATCCCTCTATTGTATCACACACGTGGGAGGTACGCAAAAATGCCTGGTCAGTAACTTTTGCCCGATCTTGCTCAAGCTTGCCCTCGTGACGTCATTGCATACATTAAGTGAACACACCTCACATGAGATCCACCACCTCACGCCACCACCACACTCCACCTCATTTTATGTTAATGATGATGCGCCACCACATTCTATGCTAATGATAATGCGCCACCACATTCTATGCTAATGATAATGCGCCACCACATTCTATGCTAATGATGATGCGCCACCACATTCTATGCTGATGATGATGCGCCACCACAAAAACAAGGGTCGAACTGTACCTACATTACTACTGACGTTTCGATGCTTCTTGCATCATTTTCAAGTTAAATATCAGAATTGTTCTAATTTCACAAAAGACTTTAATAAAGAATCATTCATTTCACACCTGAAATCTTTTGTGGGATTGGAACATTTCACATGTTGAAAATGGCCATTTCATATGCAAAATTTAGTATTTTAACATGTGAAATTTGCGTTTCACATAGTTTTGCACATGTCAAATTAAAGGTTATATTTATATGTGAAAATCAATTTCACATGTGGAATTGGTCAAAACACTTCACATGTGAAAAGGCATTGTCACATGTGACATGATACGTGACATTTTCGTAATAAACCTCTTTTTAGGTAAGTACAGTAAATCACCTCGCATAGGAAAATGCCTTCTTCTGGAGATTATCCAGCGTTGCCTTAGATGAGTCTATACTGATGATAAATGGTGTACCAATGATGAAAGGTTGGAACTCGCAGTACTGACGATGATATTTCCAGTTGTTACGTTGACATTCCCTGCCAAAATAAGTTTCACATAAAATACGCTATCAAAAGACTTTCATCATATACATAAACTGATTGATAAACTGGATAGCGCAAATATTTGTTAAATGGATACAAAAACGCATTAAAGCTTTTTTAAACCTTTTGTATTTAGTAAATTTTATAAACATGAGCTCTTAACAATGTTATATATGTCGATGTTTAAGTATATACGTAATAGCATGGTTTCGTGTGCACTTTGGTTAAAACATGCACGGGTGAGTTTTTCAAAGAGCATCAAAATATCACGAGTCCAAAGGACGAGTGCTATTTGAGGTCTTTGAAAAACTCACGAGTGCTTGTTTTATCCGAATTTCACGAGAAACCATCATATTACGGATTAATAATATACATACAAATGTTCCAGAAAATTGCTGTTACTGTAACTTACGATTTTAACGAACCGTCCACCGACAGAGTTTTCCTGCTTTGTTATATCAAATTATACAATGCTAACGGCTTGAGATTTGCACTCAACTATGCAAGTTTTGTTAGTTTTGTTCAATTTTGGATTCCATTTGTTTTTTCCGACCAATCAGATCAGTTTGTTACAGATTTTTGCACTGTTGTTACAGAATTTTCCACCGCTGTTTGAGATTAACTGCACTGAAATCAACCAATCACAGTCAAGTAATATTTTTATGTATATCGGATACAGATCGGCTGCACGCGCTTTATATAAACAAACTTTATACAAACAGAGCTACCAGTACTGGTACATAACACAATACTGGAAATAGTATGGATCTATAGTTGAAAATAATATGGAAATCCAAAATTGCAATCTCCATAATATGGATATAGTATGGAAATAGTATGGATACAGCTATTTCAATTAAGGTTGTCCCCCGAGCAAAGCGGAACAGTCGAATACGAGCAGAAAGGCTGCTGGGAATCGCTAATAAATGGCTTACTGATGTAATCGAAAATTCCATAGTATGAATTTCACTATTTTGCCAGAGTAGAATAAAAAACATATTCAATTTACAAAGAGACTAGATAAAAAATTACAATTATACTAGTTATAATTATTAATGCCCAGCATAAAATACGCAAAAGAGCCATAACATAAATATAGTTTAGAATATTTATTAAAAAGCTAACGTTTCGTCTTTAACGTAACTTAACTTTAACTTTTATGATGGCCATGCATTAATATTTATCTTAAGATTACGATTTCCGCCTGGTTCATCTATCGCTAGTTATAATTGATCAAAATTTGTTAGGACATCGAAGCAATACTTGGCTACCAATGACGACCCCACGGATTTGTCTTCCATCGCAATCACATACATAAACAAGTCATGATTATTATACGAAACAAGTGATTTATTTAGTTTTAACAAGTGATTTATTGAATTTAGTTTATACATAAAGTCTGCTCTAAGATCAGTAAACCTTGTATTAAATAAAACTATCATTTCCGACCTCGTTTAAATTGGAACGTTGACAAATTCTTTTACCGTATGAAACATTGCTATATGTGTTACTTAAATGTGCCAACTAGATTTTAGCGATATCATTCATTTATGTAAATCAGATTGAATGAAATTCTTATCCAATTAACACATGTTGATAAAACATTCATAATATTATAAAAAAAATATGTGTAAATAAAAATCTTATTACCTATTACAATATGCCACTTTACAACATTTTGAGCAATAAGATAGGGGAGATTTTTCGAGTCCGCAATTGTGACATTTGCCAGTCACACTGTGCGTTAATCTCTGAAATACAGAACAAATAGATGAATAAAACGTCGAAACTAAAAGAATAAGTAATTTATGAAACAAAACAGCTAGAATTGGAGCCAGAATTTATTATTAGATAAGCGCGATAAAAGTGCAATAAAAGTGCGTAAGACTGATGAATCACCTTAAGCCCCTTATTTACTGACTTGTAACATCATTTGGTCATACCTGAATAACAGAAATATGAACAACATCATAACTACAATGTTTGTCGATGTTCTTTTTAAAATTGCTTTCACATGATTCACTACAGGCATTTTCATCTTTCGTATTGCTTGAAGAAACGTCTTGTTTTGAGACCACTATCTCACAGCTAGATAAGAGAATGAAATTACAGTTACTCTGTTAATACACATAAAAATGTTACTCGATTGAGAATGGTTGACTTTAGTGCAGTTAATCCCGAACAACGTGCAAAAAATCTGTAATAATCTGATCTGATTGGTGGATAAACAATGTGATAAAAACAAGCACTCGTGAATCTTTCAAAGATCTCAAATAGCCATGCTCTTTGAAAAACTCACTCGTGCATGTTTTATATCCAAATTGCACTCAACAAAATTGTAACAACGAGCGAGGCGAGGTGAGTTCAGGAAGCTGCCAACCTCTCGCAGTGTGTCAATCCTCGACGAACCTCCCTGTTTGTTTTTTAATCCCATACCACACAAATACAAAATTAAATTGATATGTGAAGAATAATTCAACTCAGTATCATACCTCATATCTCGCGAACATATACGTATTCCACTATATCACACTATATTTCGCGAACATGCATATACCTATCCCAAATCTTAAAGACATGTTCTTATGATCTTTTTCGTTTTTAACAATCAGAAAACCGCCGTTTTAACACAGGCATGGGAAAATACATAGATGATATTACACGGCGGCGCAAAGGTATGACTTTTATCTTCGAGTGGTGAAAACAATATTTCACGAACGAGCGCAGCGAGTGAGTAAAATATTGTTTTTAACACGAGAAGATAAAAGTCATATCTTCAACCCAAGCAAAAAAAATTCGAAATTTCACGCTCAAGAGCAAATTGGAAAAGTCACGTGATCGATATCTTCACTAGTGAATATATGGAAAAGATCTCACTGTGTATTTTTCAGTATCTCACTCTCTATATGTTGTACTTTACTTACGCAATAAGAATTTCATCGTTGGAGGACAGTGATACCTCTTCTATTGGATCATATATATGAGAGATTCTACTGTATTTTGAACGCAGCAAGAGAAGCTATATTAAAAAAAACAAATACTGCATGATTTCCAAGGTGTACCCGGGTTATTTACCTTACCCCCAATACGAAGTTTTGAAAAATTAATAATCAAAATACACATTTATGAAAAGAGACTATATACCAAGGAAAAACTTGCCGGTATAGGAAATTGTTAATTCCCAATCTGTGTGAATTTTATTCATTTATTAGACCTAACCAAGGGCATTTGCGAGAAATGCAATTGTAGGCTCTCTGGCAAGAATCGAACCGGGGCCCTGTTTTTATATACAGTGTGTATAATAATACTTACACAACGAGCTGGAATATCAACAATATGACTGAGTTGCGATATCAAATCAGAACAATGTGTTCTTTGACAAACTTTGATTTTAGTCTGCAAGAAATAAAGACATAAAGATCAATTTTCGAAAATGAAAATTAATGACACAGTTACAAATATAAACATTATTCATACCAACGTATATAGTCCAGCGGATATGCACTAGTGTTTGGTAAAATCATTTACTTTACGAAGAAAGCACCACATTGTCACACTGACACACTTAAGAGGGCGTCTCTGTAAGAGCGGACCACTCGATCTGGGCTTCAAAAATAGATTTCTCTTATATTTCTACCGTCGATACTCTCATCTATCCTAACTACGAAACTGGAGTTAAGATCGTTCTAACGTGGTTTTTACAAGCGCTATGCGAGTTTTTGTCCCAGGACCGAAGTTAATTAAAATATGCCGGTTTCTGAAATCTCCGAAGCCTAGAATCACAGTCTGCTTGCTCTATTTTCTCTGCTAATCAGAGCTTCGTTTTTGTGTCTGAGCTGCACTAGAGTTCTCTTTCTACTATGAAACAGTAATATATAGCTGTTTAGTTGCACCTGGCAAATGAAAAAAATTACTAATCGAGACCCTTCAACGCATAATATCAAATTCGAGAATTGTAGGTCCAAAAACATTGCAGAATTCTCATCTGCCCAGGTTCTAAATCGCTTTTTAACTTTCAGATAGGATGCTATTCCATACGTCTACGCAATAAAATTTGCGGCACATGGCATTTCTAAGAAATCAAGAAGTTGACAATTTTTGTATTTTTTAGCTATTTCTGCGTGTGACACAAGAATCCAATAAGCATATCAGCCCCTCCTGTTTTGTTTATTAGCCTCGCTATTATTGCTGAAAAATCAACAAACGTTAAAAACCTATTCCTAAATGTCCTTTGTCTGATTCTAAAGTGGAAGTCAAGTCCGTTCTGCTCATGCGCGTGTTGTTTACATTTTTTGTTTTAATTCAATTAAAATTCCAAAGGTGACATCCTCACAATCGCTCATTACGCATTCAGAATGCATCACAAAAGGTAAAATTCATCTGCTAAAGAAAAAAATTAGTTCCAAAACGACAAATTTCGATAGGTAGATGTTGGAAAGCAGCTCCAGCCAATATACTTAGTTTTTTTTTATTTCCTAAATGCGCGTTCATATTGAGTCAGATTATTGTCCAAAACTTTTTATTTCATGCACTTCATTTTTTTAACTGAACGGTAGATACACCAGGCTTAATAAACAACACTACTTTCTATAATACATGGTGTATATAACCTAGAAACCTCTAATACTGACTTTTTGATATTTTTGGTGCATAGGGCGTTTTGAACATTTTATCCAATTCTTTAACTGCTTTTACAGACAAATGTTTTTTTTCCACGTCCAGTGTATTTGACATCTTGAATACACTGTCATTATGTTTTACATATGCTATGAGTACGTCAAATTCGGGAGAAACTATTGAATCCTTTGCAATCTTTCGAGTGTGAACTGTTGCTTTGGCTACGGCAACGATTATTGGAATAGGGGTCAGCGCAATAGTCATTATGCTGCATCAACTATTTCAGTCAATGTTTTTCCTGACTACACTCGCATTCTTGAATGATTTCTCCGACCAACCAAACAAGTTCCGACTTTCGGTCTTTAGATCTATACAGTACTTCGAAGTAGTCTGGTATATCTTTCAGCATAGCAATATTGAATACCGCGATTTTCTCTTTGTGGTAATAGTCGCATAGATCATATACATCGTATACAATTGGGTGTCGTAGACCTATACTGTCTCTGATTTCTTCAAGCAAACTGAGCCGTTCTGATTCCCGTATTACATCTTCGTCATCTGTATCTGGATCCGAGTGTACGTTTTCATTGGAAGAATTCTGATTTGAGGATCTTTTTCGTGCGGCAGAAAGTCGTGAAAAAACCCCTGCAATTTGCGTCTTCGATAACCACTCTTCTCTTTTGAAATGTCTTTCACTTTTTTCATTTTTTGCGCAGCGCATTTCCGACGCAAGTTGCTCAAGGTCTGCTTTTCTACCAGTCCTTCCCCCCATGTTGTACTGTGCTGTCACGTTTTCTGTAAAACGAGTGTTTCCTGGTCTTGGTTTTAAAGCCAGCCGATGCCAAGCCGCGAAGAAATTTCTTTATTGGACATATAAGATGGTAATCCAGTTGGTTTGGACTGCACGTAGGAATCAATGCCTGAAAATTTAGTCGCCCAGTCTCGACGAATTCAATCGTAAAATGTTTCATTCTTTTTGCTTGGATTTCATGCAAGCCAACGGCCATGTGAAGCTCGAGTTCTGGAAGAGTTATAGCTATATCCTTCTTCAGGATAAACAAATAGCGATGGCTGATTATCGTTGTCAATCGTGTTTTCTGGAGTTTCTTGGTCGTTTCTGGAGTTTCTAGCTGTCTTGTTTCACTGAAGTTGAAGAAACTTTGTCCTTCGTCTAATGATATGTTGGTCGTTCCTTGATGTTTTACATATACGGACTCCCATGGTATGAGCTTCCCAGGACCGACATCGTAGGCTCTCCAGGTACGCAATCCTTCTTTTTCATATTGAAAGTTATGCAAATCACTGAAGTTTTTGATTTTCAGTACTTTAAGATTTTCACTGGATTCATCTAAAGTGCAGACAGCTGCTGTGTCCCCTTAAGGTTACTGAACACCTTTGAGTGTTAATTTTGCCTAAAATTGTTTTATTGGTTTCCATGAAAGCATTAGACTAGTTCTACTATCTGACCAAGTTTGGACGAAAAATGTTGAAAACTCGCAGAGTTATTTAATAAAATACATTTCGCTTGCAATAAGAAAAACATTGAAAATGTAATATTCAAATTCAATTTTCTCCCGAGGAATTTTACGGCAATTACTGATTTTTAAACGAGTTGTGCTCCTGCGGGTTTTAACGAATTTTTCTCAAATTTTCACAGGACATAAGTCAGTTGGAAAATTGTGCTCGCCTTTGTATTTTAATAATGAGCAATTCACGCAAACGATTCAGAAATATATTGCAGTCGTCAAAGAAATCGCCATATCAGCTGAATGACGAAATAAACAAAAATTTCCGAACACAATTTTTTATTTTACTGTATAAAAATGATATTTTCATAAATATATCTTAAAACCAGCAGGAACATAACTCAAAAGCGTAAACGGGTACCGCGACTTAAGATTTTCCTGAATAATTCTTACATTATTTTATTGTTTGTCAATTTTACAACTTTATCATATTTTGCATGCACTTGCTGACATTTGGTGAAAATTTGATGAAAATCGGACTAATTTTGAGCGCGCAGTAGCGATTTTCCACAAAACGCCAAAAAGGGTGTCCTGTAACCTTAACTGGCCTCTCTTCCAAAGCTTTCCTCATATCAGACGCGTTCAAAATATCGTTCCCTTCAGCGCAGTATCTCCTGATTGATGCCTTCATTGGGCAAAGAACTCTATCACACACGTCCTTACCCTGTTGAGGCTCAGAAACGTCGTAGCGTTCAACCGCAATTCCAGAACGATCACTTACATCCTGGATTGCTGCAAGGAAGTTGGTAGTGGCAGCCTGCCTCATCAGAACGAACACATACCGTTTTCACGTTTGGAAAATCAACTTTGATACGCTCTAGGAGGCTTTCAAAAATAGAAGTCACGGCAAACCAGTCCTGTGAGCAGGAGTCAATTAGATGTGCATAGGACAAAACACGAGTAGTCTTGGATTATAAGTCTTGTTATAAGTCACCACGCTGCTAATATGCCAGCTGAGCCCGCGTTTTCCATACCACTCCTTCTGTTTTTCTCTGCACCTCATTTGATTGAACTTCATCGCCCAGTCAATTATAATGAGGGCAGAGTTGTCTGACAAATTACGTATTGCATCTTGTTTTGCTTGTTCCTGGTTTACGCCTCGCATAATATGGCACTTCCATGCAAAGATTTTGGTCTTAGACGTGTTGAAGTCATAGAGTAGATCATCTCGTTGTTCTTCGCTATAAAGATTACTGGAATGATTCTTTATGCAGGCTTCTATTTCATCTACTACCAATCTTAGTTCGTTACATCGCTCGCAAGATATATGATGTGATGGATGTGAACACTGTTTTTGAAAATCCTTATCACCAATATCGCTTAAGGCAAAGCGCCTACAGTGGTCATCGCACTCGCTTTCTTCATCCATGCAATCCGTTTTGAACGTCGTTTTCAGATACTTCATGCCGTCATTCAACTCAGTTTTTAAGCTGGTCATCTTCTGTTTGTCCGCACCAGATTCACAAAGCTCATCAATAATAATCGGCAATAAAAATTGCGTAAAATCCTGCCTCGTCAGCAGCCAATCAAATTGCGCAATTCATAAAAAAAAAATGCTTGCCATATAATAAATTACGTATATTATATCCCAGATAAAAATACTTCATCAAAACATTAGCGTAATAATAAATTAATTTCTCAAATCATACGAGTCATTTTATTTCTGATATTCTAAACCAGTATTTGTGCCTATTCTGATTCATTGCAGTTGCTACTATATTATAAAATGATTTTTGAATATACTGTAATTTCATACAAAATTTGGGACGAATGCATATTATTAATTAATAATAATAATAATAATAAAAGTCTTTATTTCGCTACTCAAATCAAACGTCTGAGTTTACATATTAAGAATAAAACATTTGATTCTTACTGTTATTTACATCAATTTTTAGTACTTTAAAATTCTAAGGTATAAGAATATAGATATATAGTTTATATAAAATTGAAAAGTCATCTATTTATAAACGCGTTTTTGAACCTCTCAGTTTTAACAATTGGTAGTTCAAAGTCATGACCTCTCCGTCGTAAAGTTCGATTTAACTTACTAGGTAAAAGATTGCGTAAGGCATTCTTATCATCATTTATAATTCTTGACCATAATTTCTTGTCTCTGTTCGATATTGTTGCTTTAAAATCTGATCTGTTGCTTGTATAACCATTTCTATAGGCACGATTGACAAACTTATCAATTTGACTTACGTATTTGTTGTACGATGCTCCACCCCAAACTTCGACTACAAAGGTGAAAAGAGAGACTACAAGACTATTGAAGAGAAGATCCAATTGATGTGTAGAGAGCCCGTAGTGTTTACAAACCCTTAGAATATACATTCTTCTACTAGCTTTTTTCATCGTCTCTTCGAAATGTTTATCCCATTTACCAGGTATGTCTTCCATCGTGACACCCAATAATTTGAGCCATTCTTTCCGTTTTATGGATGGGATGTGATCCGGAAGGGGCACTTTTCCGCGAACTACCATTTCATAGGTTTTCTCCATGTTTAAAGACATTCTATTCTCGTTTGACCATAGCTTCATGTTTTCTACTTCATCCCCAGCTGAATCTTCGTAATCAGAAACTGGTGCTATTATTGCAATATCATCAGCAAATTTGGATAAATCATTGGAGAGACTCACCGCCTTGATATCATTGACCATTATAGTAAACATTATAGGCCCAAGTACAGTACCCTGGGGTACCACGATTAATGTCTAGAAATTCAGTTGTGACACCATCAAATTTCACTCTCTGTCTGCGGTTGTTCAAAACGTCGATCATCCAGTTTATGATATATGGATTAATGGGTATTTTCTTGATTTTATTAAACAATATATCGTGTGGGACACTATCAAATGCTTTACTAAAGTCAAATGAGATTACTCTGATTTAGCACCTTCATCAAGGCTTTTTAACCACATACTGTATGTTGATATTTTATTAGGGCCATGGTAGAATTATGTCCCTTTTTATATGCAAATTGATCATCCCCAATATAATTATACACTGTATCAGCGACTTCACTTTGATACACACATTTCTCAAATAGGCGCATAATGATATCTGTTAATGAGATAGGCCTAAGTTGGGAACATGAATTAATTGAGTTTTCTTTTGGACTGGGTATCACATCAGCTCGTTTCCAAACATTCGGAATCTTGCCACTCTTCAGAGAAGTATTAAATATTCTCGTTATAACAGGAGTCAATATCTCTGCATATGTCTTCCAAAACCAGTATGGTATGTCATCAGGACCCGATGTTGTGCGTTTCAATTTTCGCAAAAAATTGTGCACCATATCTAATGAGAGCGAGGGGATTCTGGTGTCCTTAGGGATCGACAGCAACTGGGGAGCAGTGTATTCAGGGTCAGTATTTATGCCTTGAAAGTAAGTGTTTATTACACTTGGCACTATTATACAACTAACTGGTAAAGTGTTTGCTTTTCTTCCAGTCATGCTGTTAACTTTACTCCACCATTTCTTAGATCCATTTTTCTCATTTTTAACAGCATTAACCTGGTTGGAGTGGATAAGACGATTAATTTGATTCTGTAAGCGAGTAATTGTCTCTTCATCATTCGTTTTCATTGCTTGCTTTCTCTTTTTTAACAAGTGTTTAACAAGCGGAGACATGAACGGTGGGTCACGCGATGATGATCGAACTTTTATTAATGGAAAACAAGTTTCAAATTTAGGCCATAGAGTCTCGTAAAATTGAGTAGCCATCTCATCAGAGGAAAGCTCATCGTTTATTATTTTAGACCAGTCGACAGAGTCTAAATCATTAAACATTCTTTGTTTTCTATTGTCTCGCACGTCTCTGAAGAATAAATTTGTTCTTTCAGCTTTTATAGTATCTTTCTGAGATGTCAGAGTTGTTAACGACTCCTATGTTGCAAGTCCAAGTCAAGCCACAAGTCATTTCCTGCAAGTCCAAGTCAAGTCACAAGTCATTTGGTCTGAGTTCAAGTCAAGTCAAGTCACAAGTCATTTTGTCTAAATCGAAGTCAAGTCAAGTCGCAAGTCATTCCGAGTGGCAAGTCAATTCAAGTCAAGTCACAAGTCATTTTATCACCACATGTGGCCATGTTTTTCCACGCAAAACGGCAAAATATGTAAATATGGCGCCGTTATTTTATGGCAGAAATTTTACCACGAAATCGCGAAAAAAACGCTTTGTCAGACAATGCGCCGGCACAAATTCTGTCGATGCCATTGATATGTACTAAGGTCGTTTCCCAAATTGTACAACACGACGATCGATCGATCAACACAAAGATTTTGGAAAACTTGATTTTCACTATAGATATTTACGTTTGACCTGCGTTGGTAACAAGTCATTTCTTGCAAGTCCAAGTCAAGTCACAAGTCATTTTGTCCAAGTCCAAGTCAAGTCACAAGTCATCAGTCTCTTTAACAAGTCAAGTCACAAGTCACAAAAATTGCGACATGAGTCCGACTCGAGTCCAAGTCACACGACTCGAGTCTACAACTCTGTGAGATGTTATAATAATGTTATGGTCTGATCTTAATAGACCTTTTCTTACTTGTACTTTTTTCCAATAATGCGGAACGTTAGTTATAAAAACATCTAAAATATTGCTGCATCTCGTAGGTGTTTTGACCATTTGAATAAGAGTTTGCTGGCTAAGTAGATCATGGATATTTAGTTTATTTATGTCTCCAGCAATAATAATATTCATATTTGGATCACGCAATAAAATTTGCTCACAAGAATCAATCAAATAGTCTATCAATTCTTTGGCGTCATAGCTATAATCGCCTGGGGGGTGATAAATTGCTGCACAACACTAAACACAGAGTTTTTAGTTATTATTCTCATCCAGATGCATTCGAACACATTTTCTACTTCTAGTATGTTTTCCATTCTCCAATCATTCCTACAAAGTATCGCTACACCACCTCCACGTGTATTTTCTCGATCTTTCCTGGCAATACCGTAACCAGGAGGGCAAATCAGTGAACTTGGTATAGCTGAATGAAGCCACGTTTCAGATATAAAACAGAGATCAATGTTGTTGCTATTAAGTTCAGCATATATATAGTGCAGGATAAGTATCAGACTTAACTAGCGATCTAGCATTCAGCACTAAACAATAAACATTTACGAATTTGTCTAGGTTTGCTGGTTTCACTACGTCCGATAATTTTAACATTAATTAGGTTTCTGCAGGCATGGCGTGGTTTAGATTCTTTTACTAAACATTTTCTAGCTGATATTCGTACTGGTATGTGATTAGCCATTATACAAGAGTTGAATGGGGTCCCTTACAGCTTTGGGTCTTAGCATTTTCATTTCTAGTGTGCGAGCCTGATTTTCGAACATGCTCTTTTTGCTGCCATAGTTTACAATGGACAAATTTAGGCCAGAAACTCTCATCTAATACGGATTTAGCAAATGTTGAAGGGATACATATTTTTGCAGACATTGTACCTTTTCTCCTACTTTGGAAGGTTAAAATGTAATATTTACAGTAGGACCTACAATTCTCGAATTTGACATCACATGCGTTGAAGGATCTCGATTACTAAAATCTTTTTATTTGCCAGGTGCAACTAAACAGCTATATATTACTGTTTCTTAGTAGAAAGAGCACTCTCGGGCAGCTCAGACACGAAAGCGAAGCTCCGATTAGCAGGGAAAATAGAGAAAGCGGACTGTGATTGTAGGCTTCGGCGATTTCAGAAAACCGGCATATTTTAATTAACTTGGGTCCCGCGGGACCAAAACTCATACAGCACTTGTAAAAACCACGTTAGAACGATCTTAACTCCAGTTTCGCAGTTAGGATAGATGAGAGTATCGACGGTAGAAATATAAGAGAAATCTATTTTTGAAGCCCAGATCGAGTGGTCCGCTCTTACAGAGACGCCCTCTTAATAGCATATGATGCGACAAATATATTTAGATATGGAGGCATCTCAGATTTGCTCACGGTTACGAAAGAGCAGAGTTCTCAAAAGAAAATTACGTAATAAATCCCTTTGTTATATATAGCTATAGGTTAAACACCAAACGTGATTGGTTGATTTGTGGTCACGAGCCATGGCTTCAGAAAAATACAATATATCCCGCCGAAACAAAGTTGAAAATGTTCTCGAGTGTGTATTTCATAATTTCCATAAGCAGAAAGACATTGTCTGCCGCGGCTGGGTCTTGAACGCGCGACCTTCGAATTACTAGATCGACGCTCTACCAATTGAGCTACACGGTCAGACAGATTTAAGACTGGAAATTATGAACTATATACTGAATGTCATAAACATACTCGTTTATATCAATTCAGCATCGAACCATACTAGTTCTGCAAGTGTGGGAAGCAAAATAAGCATGAAAGATTTAAGAACGTTCGAAAGCGTATTTGACTTCCTTTGGGAGTTTGTATTATAAAGTTGGTCTTCGAATATGAAAAGAACAAAGAGTTTGGGTTTTAATGATTTCTCGTGCAAGACATTGTATACACGTGCCAGAGGACAGACTTTCTCTGATGAATGAATACATGTTTATCCAACAATTATGTTTTCCATTCGTACTTTCACTCAGCCTCGTTGTCTCTGAACGAATAGTCAACTCGGCTTCGTTGACTAATTGTTAAATAAACGTGCGAAAAAGCAAATTTTGTGGTATTTCGTTGCATTTTCTTCATATATATTTGAGCGTTAATACCTCAAATTTGGTTGACTTGGAAAATTATACCATAATCACTTGTATGTTGTATATACAGTTTTCGTGACATTTCTAACGATGTAGGTGATATCTAGTAAAAGTGAACTTGAAATTTCACCTTTTTTGAATATATATTCCCGAGACTTATATCAGAGATTTATTTTCACAATTTTATGAAAAACGCTGTTTTGTCGCAACCATGATATGAAATGCTATCAATGCGCAAAATTTGATACCTTCATTATAAAGTGCATAATTTTCTGATCTATCCGCCAGGCGAGAGTTTAAAACAAAACGAATAACCAAAAATTACCTTTAGTGGTTTCTTTTCCGGATCAACGAAAAACACGTGGACAGACAAATATTTTGGATCCTCAGGAATTGGAAGATTGAGCTGCATCCAATGATCAAATGCTGTTGAAGGCTTTTGAAAATAAAATAGTTTAGAAAATTGCCAACAGTTGTCCAATCACTATGCATGATTAAGAACACAGTCCATGCACATTGTACGGGCAATGGTAGCTGCTCTAGATCACTAATATATATATATATATATATATATATATATATATATATATATATATATATATATATATATATATATATATATATATATATATATATATATATCACACCCACACAGGCGGATTTAAATTCGTCACAACAAGCACCAACGATTGCTCGGACTTTTAAGAGGACATAAAGCCCTGCATTTCCTAACTGGTACCCTTCCTCAAATGAACGCTATTCAGTCTTCAAAAACTCATTAATAATTCAGGAGCAAAACACAAACAAAAATCATAAGCGTGTCGTGGTTTTATATGTGATAAAAATCACGTTAATTTACATAAACTTTACCTTTGATTTTCTCGGTTTAGACAAAGTTTATTTTAAAAATTACTTCGCCAATGAACTCGTATAAGATGAGTCGTTTTTGAAGCTATTTAAAGCACTTGTAGTCGTGTTTTATCACATATAAAACACTCCGCTACGCGTCGCTTTAAATAGTACATAGTACTAAAACTTAGTACTAAAACTTAGCAAGCTTTGTTTGGCATATTTATTACTATATATATATATATATATATATATATATATATATATATATATATATATATATATATATATATATATATATATATATATATATATATATATATATATATATATATATATATATATATATATATATACCGCGGGTGTCCCAAAAAAAAGTACTCCTGTTTGATTCGTAATAACTTCTAAACAGGTAAAGCTTTGCATTAGATAGAGGAAGGACTAACTTAGATTTTGATATATTACAGTTGTATTTCACTTAAAAATTCACGGAGATATTAATCTTTGAAATCGGGAGCATATTTCTGGATGTGTCTGAAATATGCAAAAAACGGCGTATCAAATATTAATCAAGATTTGCCCGACTGAAACATGCACTATTACCAGTAAATAAATGACACTTGACAAATTGTTTATTATGAAACAAAGTATTATTATATCTACAAAATACAAGCAAGATTTATTCGTCTGAAATTCGCATGTGTTCCTAGCACGAATACGTTTCCTTATTTCATGAGACCACTGCATCGCGAAGGATCGTCATGGATCGTTCGTAGTTCTGAATTAGGATTGTGAAGCTCTTCTAACTTCTGCAACGTTCTGAAATCTTGCTAAGAACACCCAAACTCTTTTGCCTTTTCTTAATCTTGGCAAGTTCAGAGTAAACTGAGAATTATATGAAACACAATCAAACCATATAATTCCATAAGACATAACAATTAAGCAACTCCCCAGAGACATGCAACATTTTTGGAACAAAACGTAACAAAATAGTAGCGTTGATACGGTGATGTGCATTTTCAAAAAGCAATATTATTTTCTTCAATAAAGAATAATATTCATCCTGCTCTAACCGAGAAATAATCAACTCAGTCTGTTTGAACCCATTAAAAACATAAAAAAATTAGGCTATTTAAGAATAAGAAAAATTTAAGCGCCTGCCTTCCATGGTCAGTCTTTCATGTACATTTAAGTTTGTAAAGACCTAATATTAAATACTTGCATAATTTCGAAAGTTCATATTTCAGGAAACAATGAGCTAAGACTTACATGTAAGATGTCTAAATCTACGCCATATCCCTTACAAACCCTAACGATAATTCGCTGAAATACAAGTTAGCCTGATATGTCATTAAGCAAACAAACGCTGGAGTTAATATTTGATAAGCCGATTTTCGCTAATTTTAGACACATCCCAAAATATGCTCCCGATTTTGAACATTAATATCTCCGTGAATTTTAAGTAAAATACAACTGTAATATATCAAAATCTAAGTTAG